AATAAATTAAAAAAAAAAACCCTTGAATTTAATAAAAAAATGGTGTTAAAATGAAAAAAAAAAAAATATATGTTTATACGGTTTCAAATGTAAAAAGAAAATTATTTGTACGGATACTGAATAAAAATGGAAAAAAAAAATTATGTTTAATTTGGAACAAAAAATAGTGTCAAAATTGAAAATAATAATAATAATAATAATAATAATAATAATAATAATAATAATAATAATAATTTAGTGTCTTTTGTGAAAAATGTTTCAATTTTGACACGTAAGTACGTCATGTCATCAAAACTGATACATCAGCAGACAATTAGTTTGACTAATCAAGTGGTTATAATTGTAACAAATTAAAAAACATACTATCAAATTTGAGACAAAAAAATCATATTATCAAATTAGATTTTTTTATATAAAGTTAGTGACTTTTGTATTATTTTTCTTTTCGTAAATGCAACAATATGGTTGGGTGAAATAGTCTCATCTTACTAAGAAAAGGAGCAACGTTGTATGCATGCCAATTTTTCTTGCTTTACATCTGAGAACTAGAAATTCTTACACTATCTCTTGTTGATAAGAAATGTGTGCACCATTTATCTACACGTTTTTGTACATGAAAAGCACATGTGAAATTGCCTTACTCCTATATGTAAATATGATAAATTGCTTATCTCTTAAATGAGAATTACACAACAATATATAAAAACAATACCTAAATTATAAGGGTCTTGTTCCTAAACCCTAACCCTACGTACTATGATACTAACATCTCTTTGTAGTTTTATCCGGAGGAAACTACTCGACGATTAAAAGGATAGATATGAAAAGAAATAAATATATGGTAGGTTTGGAAAGATATGGATCAAGAACTAGTAGGATTAATAAGTTAGACGGTGTAAAATACAAAATATCAAGTACAATTTTTTTAAGGGTGATGATTGCACACAACAATTTTTAATCATACACAATAAATTGTGTTTTATATAGTTCTACAGGACAATTACATAAAACATAAATTATATAAATTATTGTGTATAGCTAAAAAGTATTGTACATATATGGGTTTAAATTAATTATACATATATGCGTTTAAATATATGCAAAATCGTAAAGAACGTCTCGTTATCTGTTTAATTACGTTACCCTTTTATTTCTCATATCCAACCACATGAATCGCGTTTGGGGATATAATTTTTTCGGAGAAAAACAAATTTGGGAGTTGAGACAATTAAGGGACAATTTCAAATAATTGATAATAATAATAAAATTAATACATGATTATGATTTATGAGTATGATGATGAAATAATAATTATTAGATAGAATTTATTTCATACGACAGATTGTCCATTTGTACATGTGTGGGGATATGAATGAACCAAAGAAAGTAACCCTCAACTAATAAAACAAAATTGACGTCATTACACTTGGAGTTTTACAGAAATTTCATCCCCATATGGCCATCGTATTTCCATTTCCTTAAGCAAAAACATAATAATATCTTCTTTTTTTTTTTTTGTTTTATTTTGACGAATGCATTATTTTGTAGTCATGAGATGTCGGTAACGAACTTAAACTATATATTAATGGGTAATATTTTGTATCTTAAAAAAAACTATGTTTTTTATTTTTTATGTAAATTGATGACATATCAAACCGTTACCTCTCTCTTTTTTCTTTTTTCGTGAACCGATAATAATATCCTGAAAGCTACAAACCAATTGAGAGTTCCCTTCAGACATAAAAAACCGAATCTTACGTCAATACATTTTCTCTTCATTACAGTCCAACAAAGTGTTAGGGGTGCAGACGTAGGCGATGATGACCCTAATGAAATTGGTTGTAGAAAACAAACCTTTATTCTTGTTTTGAACAATTTGCTTGGTAGCTTTTGGTCATGGCAAGTGTAAAGCCATTTCTTACATTCCAAAAGCATATTTGCCTCCAACTTTTGTTTGTTAAACCATACTCTCCAATACCTTTGATCATGTGTGGTCGTTGGTTGTTCTACGATTTATGTGTAATTATTACGATTAAGATTGAGACTAGAGTAGTTGCTTGTCATGTTTTTGTCTATATGTGTGACATGTGTACATAAACACCTTTAGAGTCTTCTTGGTTTAATTGCGTTGTTATATGGAATTTGTTGCTATCATGTTTGCCTTTTATTTTATTATGATGGCAAAAAAGAAAAGAGTGGCGGACCAAATAGATTTTTTTTCATTCTTGAATTTGTGAGTTCGGTTTTATACCATGTTCATATAGTATATACCATATCCATCAAAAAGTATTCATGAGTTTGTATGGTTTATTCTTAGAGGGAATTGGTTGAATCCATGAATATAGAAAGGAGTAATTTTGACCTATTTAGTTTCCAAAGAGTGTAATTTGTAAAATTAAAAAGTTCAGTTCCAATTAAATATGTCAGGGTATTTTTAAGTCGTCCAAAATATACTTTACAACACCTAAACCATTTTATAAAAATCTGGACCATTATTTATTTATATTTTATATAACAACTTTGGACCTATCTTTTACTTATATCTATTTGGACTATCATTTGACTCGACTCATCTTGCCATCGATGGCTATTACTTCGATTCATATTACTAAATTAGTATGTTAATTAGGGGTGAACATAGTGCGGTTTGGTGCGATTTTAGGACCAAATCGAACCACAAACCGCAAGGTGCGGTTTTCGAATTCTAGGAACCGTTGGGTGCGGTTTTTCAATAGTTCGTTTTGTGGTTTTTGAGTGCGGTTTCGGTTTGTACCAGTTCGGTGTCGATTTTAAACCTAGTCAAACATATGGTGCGGTTTTTTATATTCACCAGTATGAATTTTTTTTAACCGTTATGTTCATTTGAAGATTTATGATTGTATGACATGGTGTCATTTCGTTTTCTCATATTTAGAAGCCGTAATTTTGAGTTTTTTATGTTGTTTACTTGATCACTTCATTTGCAACTCATATTCTCAAGCTCGTTTTTTTTTATTCAATTTGCACTTAAAAGTTACAAACTTGCAAGTTGTAGCCCACATAGTGTTTATACTTTATACATAATCATTAAGTTACAAACACAAAGTGACAAAACTCACATACTAAACTTAATACCTAATTACTAATTACCATCAAGTTCAATATATAATATATGTATAAATTAGAATTTATTAGTTTTTTTTATATAATTTGTGTAATTGTATAATATAAATTAGTGATTTATTTTGTTGTTAATAAGCTTGTGGTGCGGTTCGGTTTTGGTGGTGTGGTTTCTAGATAAAAACCGCACCGCATCAATAAATCCGGTTTTTCAAAAAATAAAATCCGCACCATCAGTTTTTGCGTCAGTTTCGGTTTTTTGGTTGCGGTTTATTGCGGTTTTTCTTTTATCAATTCGGTTTTTGCTCACCCTTACTGTTACGTATGTGAGGCATAATTAGATATTCTTATAAAACTTATAAAACTTAGGATAGTTTGGTAGCTAGGGGTGACAATTATCGACTCAACTCGTAACCCAATACTGATCCAACACGAAAATAAACGGCTTTAGGTTGAGATTTTTGACCCGCCAACCCATTTATTTCATGGGTTGGGTTACCTGTTTGGGTTCGCGGGTCAACCCGTCAACCCGATTATATATATATATATATATATATTATGTTTAAAAAATATATTTAATTATTTATCAGTTTTGAATATTGATTATCGTTTAATCGTTTTCCAAATTTCAAAACTGTAAAACATCTTCGAGTCGACTAAGCGTGCCCTAGCCCCTAAAAAGCCCCTAATAAAAAAGAAATTCAGTCTTCAGTCTCCAAACTCACAACTTCGTGTCTCCCATCTCTGTTGATTGAGGCATCGAGTTATCGACTGTCGCAGTGTCGCACGCACACCACTCATCTTCTCGTCATCCGGCTGTTGCACAACACTCATCATCGTCACTCCTGTTTTTGACTCTATGTTGAATATTTAAGACTTTATGACTTCATTTTATTTGTATTTTTTAATTTCATTTTAAAATGTATTTCTTATTAAATGAGTTATACGAGTTGGACTCGATCCACTGACCCACGAACCAATATACTTATATGGGTTATATGGGTTAGGTTGGGTTGATGTTTTCAACCCGGTAACCCATGACCCGTCAACCCACCAACTCATATATTATATGAGTTGGGTTTGATCAATATATTCTAACCCACTAACCCACCAACCCGTGAACCGTCAACCCAAACTCAACCCAATTGTCAAGCTTATTGGTAGCATCTTAATATTCTAATAAAGAGAAATTCTTAATTTTTCAATTGAGAGTGTTTGATAGCCTTTAATTTTTGTCTCTCAATTGTTCAACAAACTCTTAATTTTTAAGAGTTGTATAAAAAAAGTTTTTGGAATGGCGTTTAACAAACCTTGTTCCCTCTTCTTTTTCCATTTTAGGATATCATTTTCCCTTTCTCTCCCACTTACATCTGACCTCTTAAAAGTTCAAAGCCTTTAAAAATCCAAATCTCTTTAAAATTCAGATCCTAACAAACAATTATATTTATTTAAATAAAAAAAAATACCAAGTTCATTATAGGTGGCAAAAAATATGGATATACCGGGTAAACCAATTTTTGAAATATATCAGAAGAGGTAGATAATAATATAGTTTTTTTAAGCAAATTTCAATTAATCTATTAATTAAATATGATTAAAATCTACTTTGTTGAAATATATCAGAAGAGGTAGATAATAATATAGTTTTTTTTTTAAGTAAAACAATCACTAGTTTGTAAAGAATTTTTAAGATGCATTAAAGAGACGTTGGCCCATTAAACGTTGCCTAGGTTCATTTCATACAAATCGTGTATTTTTGGAGTTCTGCTGTGATCACCCATCACACTATGTTTTCTGTTCTACAAAATGACAAAACCAAGCAATCTTTTGTATCAAAGATGATGTAAACTGTTCCCAAAACATACAAAGTTTCAAATTGTAAGTTGCATCAGTTTGTTAGTATGGTGAATAGATGCTTTAAGTTCATAAAACCATCATCAAAATGGAAAACTATTTCCTTTTCAACACATTCTTTACCAAAACTTGATCTTTTTTGCCATTTTTCTTCACAAACACCCACCAAGATTCCAAACCCACATGGCGGAAGTTACTCAAAGAAAGAGCAAACTCTTCTTTCTATGTTCAAGAAAGCTTGCACCAAGAAAGACATTGAACAACTCCATGCTCATGTGGTTCAAACTGGTTTTACTCAAAACCTGTTTGTCGTGGGTAAGATCATCGTGTCGTGTGCTGTATCAAATGAGGGTTCTATGGATTATGCTATTTCCGTATTCGAAAAGATTGAGAACCCAGATGGGTTTCTTTGGAACACGATGATTAGAGGGTTTGCGAGGATGAATCAAGTAGACAAAACGTTCTGTTATTATAAGAAAATGCTCGACCATGGAGGTGTTGCTGACAATTTCACTCTTTCGTTCTTGCTTAAAGCTAGTGGTCAATCTGGATCTGTTTTTCTGGGGAAACAGATTCATTGCAGCGTCATAAAACACGGCCTTGAAAATCATGTTTTTGTCCGGAACACCTTGATTCACATGTACGGAGCTCTAAAAAGCGTTCAGGTTGCACGCCAGTTGTTCGATGAAATGCCTGAACCAGACTTAGTCGCTTGGAACACCATAATTGATTGCCATGTTTGTTGCGGGAAACACAAAGAAGCACTTGACTTATTTTCCCGTATGCAGGAAGCCCACATAAAACCAGATGATGCCACCCTCGTTGTCATCCTATCAGCTTGTGCCACACTAGGAGCATTAGACCTCGGGACATGGGTTCACTCCATTATCAAAACTCGCTTATTAATGAACGACATATCAATTGTGAACTCATTGATTCATATGTACACAAGATGTGGAGAACTTGAAGAAGCACAAACGATCTTCACTAAAACAAACAATAAAAACATAGTAACATGGAACACAATGATATTAGGGCTCGCAACACATGGTCATGTCCAAGAAGCAATAAACATATTTTCACTAATGATAAACAAAAAACTCGCTCTACCCAATGATATAACTTTCTTAGGCGTCCTAAGTGCTTGCAGCCATGGAGGAATGATCGAAAAAGGAAGACAAATTTTCAATAAAATGATCAAAGAATACCACATAACCCCAACAATAAAGCATTATGGGTGCATGGTTGACATGTTATGTAGAGCTGGATTAGTCGTTGAAGCTTACGAATTAGTTCAAAATATGCCGATGGAATGCAATTCCATCATCTGGAGGACAATTTTGGCTGGTTCCCGAGTTCACGGGAATGCAAAATTAGCCGAGATTGTGAGACAGAATCTTTTGGAAGTCGAAGATCATAGTAGTGACTATGTTCTTCTTGCTAATACTTATGCAAGTTTAGAAGATTGGAATCAAGTATCGAGAGTAAGACGATTGATGATAGATAATGGAGTTCAAAAACCGAACCCCGGTAATAGTTTTCATATCCACAATGGGAATGGAATCGGTTTATTTTGTTATGACTAGTGAAAACAACACAAAGTTTTTATACAAATCGATATCTTTGTTTATTTTGTTATGAACGGTGAAAACGGCATAAAGTTTTGATAGAAATCGATATCTTTAGTATGTTGCATAGGTTTTCATTACTTAAAGACATATAATTTACGAAATTTTCTTTTGTTTCTTGTCCTTCCACTCTTTGATGTCTTCGTTTACTTTAGCTTTAACACGAGCATGAAACCCTGGATATGGTTCGTAACCAACTCCCATTTCTAGTGCCTGAACATCAACAACAAAAGATACAACGTAAAATAGTTGTCCATTGGGTAGACAGGACTGGACAAGCTTTCTTATATCTGATGTTGACGATGAAGAGGGCATTTTTGTCTTTTGCACAAACGAAAGATCCAGAGCGAGTCCATGTCCATGTCCCACCTTTTTTTAGTGGAACGAAAAACTTTGTAAATTTTTGTCATATATTGACATCACTCTCAGTCTCAGTGTCGGACACAGTACAACCTGTTATTACCTCAAGCAACACAAAGAAAGGTGCCATCAAGAAGGCTTGCGCTAGGTTGTCCAATAAAGCGGGTGCACGTTTCTATTCATAAATAAATACATGAAAAATGAATTATTATCAACACAAGAATGAGAAAAATGAAACGGGAAAAGTGTTGAAATTTGCATAAAATTACCTCAAACACGCCATGTCCTATGAATTGTCCTGTCCAGCAGAATAACTGAGCAGCAAGAACAACCTGAAAACACACAGAGAAAAAATATATACAACAATATGGTGATATATATTCATTTGAGTTTAGAGTTTTTGGGAAAACCTGAATCTGATTCTTTAAATATTATGGGGAAAATTGATTATTAAGATAATTATTACTTGATTATCTCGTTTTACAAGTTTTATAATCACTTTGAAAACACACATACAAACATTATAAATCACCTTGGATCCTGTTAACGTTTATGATACGAACAAACATCTTTCACTTCTACTTGAGAGAAAATAACGAAAGAAAACACTGTAGTTACACAAAATAGAGCTTAACTAAGGGATTAGGGTTCAATTCCATTGATTTGAATCAGGGTTTGAACCAAAAGTGATCGGAAATTTAAACTAAATCAGATTTAATACTATTTGGAAACCTAAAATTCACTAAAAAAAACTGCAGAGAAAGTAAAATTTACCTTCCAAGCAAGAGAGAATCCCAGATGATGAGCAAGAAAGCTCCCAGAAACCCAACATAAAAAACAGAGCAAACCAGCTACAGAACCAGCTTTCAAATCCAAACACACATAAAATCCAGCATAAATCACAGTGAACAAGAACCCGTAATTCAAAATCAAGCTATGTGGTAGCGTCAGATTAAGCAAAGGGGGTGTAAAGTAGAGCATCACAAGAGCTGTGAACAAAATCGGCCAAACAAACAACATGTGGATGAATACGTTAACTGGGTTGCTATGATATGCCCCATAAAACGCGAAGTGTTTTTCAAGATCAAATAACCCTATCTTCGCCATCAGATTTTGCCCCCTTTGAATTTCTTCAAGTGTCTGAAGATTTGTTTGATGTTTAACGTGTATTTAAAGATTAAGAAAAACCAGGTATCAGGGATAAAGAATTTTCTTCAAAGATGGATCGTTTTGACTACGCCAATGGAGTCATTGAAAATTTACTTCGAGCAGTCCACTGGATTTTGTGTTTGGTTTCAGATATACCGATGATATCAATGTGCCGTCGCTAACGTGGCCGGGGAGTAGTAGATACTAACGTGCACCGATATATTTTTTCATGTAATACTCATTTGACAAAATTGCAAGATTGGTCCCACTAGTATGTTAAACCTAGCAAATTTGTTCCAAACAAGTTTGGACTCACATGGATGATCAAAAAGTTTCATTTTGTTGCGAGTTTGGTCAATTTTGTTTTGATATTTTATAAAATGATGATTTTGCCCTTGGTATTTTCTTTTTCCAATTTTTTTATTACAAAAAACTAAAAAAGAAAAGAAAAAAGAAAATACTCTCTCTCTCTCTCTCTCTCTCTCTCTCTCGTTTTGACCTCCGATGAAGGAAGGGAAGGAGGAAGTGGTGATTTCACAAATTCTCACCCTCCTGTCGAAGCACCACCCAAACACCCTTAACTGCTGCTATTCCCAACTCCCCTCTCCCTCTTTTCTTCTTTGACTCACTCGAAAAACGAAACATAAGGATGGAGGTTGTTGCCTCCATTCCAACCACCCATCCTCCAGTTGTTGAGAAATCCCACGAAACCCCCACATGTTGTCGTTTCTGTTCTCCTTCTTCTGTTTTTAGTCATATTGAGCACCGATGGTGCTCTCTATTGGTCGACTGTTGTTGTTGTCTCCCTTTTCGGTTCGATTGTTACCGGAGACGAGGTCGAAGAGGCCAAGAGGATCGCTAGAAAAACGGGCTCCCCTTCTACGTGATTCCTCAACCACCATCGATCCACCCATGTTGTTGCTTACGATTATGCTCTTCTTCTCGATTCATAAATGTTTTTGTTCTTGAAATCATCGATTCTATTGTGCTCTTGAAGTTGTGTGTATGAGAGAGATGGAGTGTATTGATTGATTTTTTATATTCAGATCACAAGAACACACACATGCTGTAGTTTTATCTCCAAATTGAATTTTAGAAAATTAGAGCATCAAAGAAATGAATTTTGAACACACACAAACACAAGATAACAAGAACACATACAACAAATCTGGAACATGAACACATACAAATACAAGATCTGAACTCAAGAACTCAAATTTCTAATTTTTTGTAAGCAAGAACAGGTTTGGATTGTAGCGTACAACCTGCTAAAGCTTTTTCAGATTGATATATATATATATATATATATATATATATATATATATATATATATATATATATATATATATAGAGAGAGAGAGAGAGAGAGAAAATAAGGGTGGAGTGAGATTTTTTTTTCTTTTTTGTTTTTTTGTAATAAAAAAATTAAAAAAGGAAAAATACCAATGGCAAATATGTCTTTAAAAAAAGTTTTGAAAATTTTGAACTAAACTCGCAACAAAGTGAAACTTTTGGACCACTCTTGCGAGTCCAAACTTGCTAGATTTAACATACCACAAGACAATTCTTGCAATTTTGTCGACTCATTTTTGTCCCATAACTTTGGTTATCATTCAAACCATAGTAATATCGTCTTATTGTGAATAACCACTTTTACGTCCTTAAACCACTTTTAAATTTAACAACCATTTCTCTTTTTTTTTTTCACGTCCTTAAATCACTTTTAAATTTAAGTTGTTAAAAAAACATGTTTTGCTAGTGTAAAACAATTTCTCATTAAATTTAACAACCATTTCTCTTTTTTTTTCACGTCCTTAAACCACTTTTAAATTTAAGTTGTTAAAAAAACATGTTTTGCTAGTATAAAACAATTTCTCATGTATCATTAATTATCATCATGTAGTTTAAAGTTTGGATGTATTCTTGGCCAAAATAAAAGGTTAAGATGGCACAATCTTATGTGTTTTCCTTGTTTTCGCGTTTTCGCTTATTATTTGTATTTTCACACACACACACACACATATATATATATATATATATATATATATATATATATATATATATATATATATATATATATATATATATATAATAAAGATTATTTTTGCATTTGTTATTTAGTATTCAGACAACTTCTGTTGTAAGATGATTATTGGACAGGGATTATTTATGTAAAATATTGATCCTTTTGTAAGTTGGCTATTTTTGTAAGGACCATTTATGTAAAAAGAGCACTATCGAGAATTTCTATAAATTGATTAATTTACGAGGACTATTCATTTATGTTCTTTAGTTTTACCTTTAGTATGTTTTTTTTTTCATATTATATGAATTAAGGGTTTTTTTGAACAACTAAATGCATTAAAAAAAAACCACACTCTAACAAAGAGCTAAAGCAAAAAACGAGTTAAATACATCAAATTTTGTAACATCTAAAATTTCAGGTATTATTCTTTAAAATTCTCTTGTGTCTTCAATTTGATTTTATGGATTTTAACCTTACCACGACGTGGTCTTTTGAGCACCACGACCTAGTAGTGCCAAAGTGGTGATTTAATGGCTACAACGTGGCGTCGCCCTCCGCATAAAACCCTAAGTTTCAGGATTGGACCCTATATAAAGTATATGAGGGTTATGGTTTCCTCCACCCTCGGCCCCTATTTCTCCAGAAGACCTCCCCCCTAACAAAAAAAAAAATCCTAGCCTCTTGTGGTCATTTGATGCTTATTATTGTGATTTATAGCCTTTCAAGGGAGAAGGAATGTCTTGTAGAGTAAAAAACCACCAAGCAAGCTCATCTCCAACTCTTTGTGTACATTTTGGATCTTTGTAAGTCCCTTAAACCATCATCTTTGTTGTTGTCCCTTCTAGATCCATGTTTTTGAGTCTTGTTGTTCTTGTTGGGAAGATTTTAGTGATTCATCTTGATATAGTTTGCAAATCTTTGGATCAATGAAGTCCCAAGTTCATTATGTGGTTCAGATCCGAACTTCAAACTTGATTTGGTGCCATGCATGAGATTTTGGCCCCATTTCTCATTCTTTTGACCTAAGTAAGTTTATGACATGAATTGGACATGCATATACATAAAGTTAGGATTTTTATGAAAAACTTGGATGCAAAGGGGCCTTCTGGAAAGTTAGAATGACTAGCTTAATGTATTAAGGATTTAATGAAGTGTAACATCCATAAAATTCACACCAAATTTAAACTTTTTCAATCATAAATAAAAACCACATAGCATTGTTTACAAAATTGTTTCAAATAATTTTCCATCAGAGTGTCCCAAAAATCATAACATAAGGATGAGGAGCGATATGGTCATGCCTTCGCCTTTCCACGATCTCCTGAAGTACCTAAAACAGTAAATTGAAAATTGTAAGCCCGAGGGCTTAGTGAGCTACCCCCAAAATACCAACACCACACTGACAATACCATAACAGTAATAA